TCCCCATTGTACGACTGCGTCAAGCTCACCCAATGGCCTTGAAACAGGGCCCCTTACTGACTTCCTCATAGCGTGGCTCAAATCTTACCTCTAAATCAATCGCTCTCAACCTTCCTAATGCCGCGACCCTTTAATACAGTTCCTCATGTTGTGGTGACCCCCATGAAATTATTTTTGTTGCTACTTCATAATTGTAATTTTGCTTCTGTTATGAATCGGGCAGCCCCTGTGAAAGGGTTGTTCGACTCCCTCAAAGGGGTCTCGACCCACAGGTTGAGAAACGCGGTTCTAAATGAAGTCTTTCCCAAGTACCCCATTCAGTCCCGCAAAAATATGCCCTCCCCTTTTCCCATAGCACTAATCTCAGTTAAGCTATTACATGATGAACTTAAACTGTACCTTGACAGTGTCTCCCCCTGCTGGAAAATAATCTCAAGAAGGGCATGATGGTCTCTGTCTCTTTTGTCCACTGAGACATTCCAGGAACATGACTGCCCACACTGAATCGATGTTGGCATAATTCTTTTTTTTTTAATTCTGAAACCAAGTCTTGACAGGAAGGCTCCTCCTTAGCGTCAAAATGAGTGCTAAGTGGGTTAAAATGGTGATGGAAAGCCATCCAGCAAAAATGTCCATTGAGTACCAGACCATGCTAGAAGCTTTAATCACTCTTGTCCTATTGTGTTCTTTGTACAGATAAGATTGGGGCTCAGAGTATCCAGCGTGTAGCAATGCTGCACTCAAGACTATATGCCTCACTCTAGCCACTAAATCACCCTGCTTTCCCCACCTCACCTCACCTCCCTTAACCCTGACCTCACTGAAAGACTTACCTGCTAGAGTTTTTAAACGACTGGCTGCATTATAGATGCGATTCGTTCTCTCTCCTCAATATGCCCCCTACAACTGATGCTTGTCCCTGACGACATTTGAAGAGCAGGATCATCCCCTCTAACGGCTCATGGACACATCGGGAAACTCTCCCACCGGCCTGATGGAGCACAGCGAGGGGAGGAACCGGACGGGAAAGCATCCCCCGTCACTGCCTCATAAGTCATCCCTCACCATCCCAGTCATTTCTTTCTTGTACCCTGCTCACCAAAACACCCAGTGCACCACCGACACTGGGTGTTTTCTTTGTTGTTTTAAAAATATCCTGTTACGGGGAGGGAGGGGAAAAATGAGGACCTAATGTCGGGGATTTAAGTGGAGAGAAAATGTTTTGAGAAACGATGTACAAATGCGCTTTACACAATTGATGTGTGTATGGATTGGGATAACAGTTGTATGAGCCCCTAATGAAATGTTAAAAAAATAAAAATAAAGGAAAAAAGAAAAAAATATATATCCTGTTAGCTGTGCTGTACAACCAAAGAAAAGACTGCCTGGCCCTGCCCCATCCCTACAGCCCGTTGGGGAGAGGATTGTTGTGCTCCACCTGGTTTTCATTGGCTGATTTTCAGGAGACCAGCAGGCCTTTCTTCCTCCCCTTTCATCTGCATCTGGAAGCTCGGCTGAATCCGCTGAGCATTATGGCATCACTTGGGCTTCCACTGGCAGCCGAGGGATGGGGGGCACTGGGCACAAGATTCACTGGCCTGGAACCACCCCTGCCCTCTTTAAATAAATGGGTTCATTTATTTTACATTCTGAGCACTAAATGGGTGTGTTTTAAAGATGGAATTAATATACTCTAAGTGCTTAAGAAGAGTAATCCACTCCCTCTCCCAGCTTTCCACCCCCACATACACATCTCCATGATGTCCAAATCCTAATGCCCGAAACCTGTGCATCTCTTACCGAACATGGCAAAGGGGAGTTGGTAGATGTGAAGGGCCTCGCGATGGGAAGATGACTCAAGATTAGCTGCAGGGACTCGATGTCATCACAAGGCTCGGTATATTAGGGAGGCGGGAGGGCCGGACAGGGCCAGAGCAGAGGTCAGAAGGGGGCCGTTGCTGGAGGGCCATGGTTTGGCCAAACAACGAGGATGGAATTTCCAGTAGCTGGAAAGGGAACAGATGCTGCCCCAGGGCCGACGGCTCCTGCTGCCACCCCAATCATCGCAGCCTCCGCAGACCCACTGTCATACTCTGACCTTTAAAGCAGTAGGATTGATGTGACGCTTCAGTCCCTAAATGTGTGGCCGTTTGGTGTTGCAGCAGCCTGAGGAAAAGTGGCCTCCGAGGAAGGAGGGAAGATTCCCAGTCCCTCGGGATAACCAGCGCGGAGTCTGCTTCTATCTGGGTGGAGAAAGGAATCTGCAAGCCACAAGTCAAGCAACCACCTGGGACTTCACCTGATCCCAATAGCAGAGTACGTCAAAAAGACCCATGTGAGACCCCTCCTTCTCAGGGGTCCCATCTCTGGTTCTTCCCAAGGAGGAGAAGCTGCAAACGGCAGGATCCGTCGAGGGCATTTTTTCCAAAGCAAAAAAAAAAAACAAAAGAGCCATCCAGGGACCTCCGATTGGGAGAATAGCTTTTAATTCGAAAACAACTGAAGCAATAAATCATCCATCTCTCATTCCATCACAAGCAAGTACGCTCCCCAAACACCTATGAATATTTTAAACAGCAGCTGTGACTAGTGCAAGGTAAAATAAACACAAGCTCTTTCGGGAGCCAACATCCAAACCTGCTGGGCAGGGGTGGGCACGGGCCCAGAAGCGGCACGTCTGGAACAGCAGGATGTGCACAGTATTCCAACACAACCAGTTTAAACAGACTCCACCCTGCCTGGGGAGGGGAACCACAGAGAATGTTGCACCAAGGGAAACAGGTATGGCCCACACCCTCATGTGGCCATTGTCCTCGGCACCTGGGAGATGTTTGAAAAATAAGGGGAAAGGTGGCGACTTCTAAACAAAGCTGAAGACAACAAATTTAAGACTCTTAGACTTTGGATGTGTAATGGGAGGCTCGTATGTATTAAGCAGCACAGTAGGTTGAGTGCTGGGCTGCTAACAGCACAGTAGGCTCTTCAGACCCACCAGCTGTTCCTTGGGAGCAAAATGTGGCTACCTGCTCTCATAAAGATTTATAACCTAGGAAATCCTACTGGGAGGTTCTACTCTGTCCTATAAGGGGCTGTGAGAATTTCCTTGATGGCAGTGGGTTTGGTTTTGATGGGTTTGTATGTCTTGGTTTTAGGAACGGAAATCTGCTTTCGAAAGGGTGTTCTCTGCTTTACAATGTTCTTGACTTCTGCAGAATTACATGTATTGATCTCTCAACATGGATGCTTCACAGAACGATTTCTTACCTTTGACATCAGCTGCCTAGAGCCTATGGCAATGCTGTCCAACAGATGTATAATGTGAGTCTCATCCACATTGTAAAGTTTGGAGGAGCCTCATTCAAAGAGGTAAAAAGGAATCAGTGAACTTAACTTTTACACATCCAATTGCAACCCAGTATACCCAAAATATTACCCTTCTTACACTCAGCCGATGTTAAGTGTAAATACTGGTCCAATAGCTTACATTTTGGTACTTAAATCTGACATGTCCTGTACACGTACATCACATCTCTGTTTGGAGGACTCCTTTTCTACATGTGGTTATTGATCATTGTGCTGGGCAGCAGAAATCTAGAGGATGTTGATATCACGATCATTTACCAAACATCGAAACTCCATAAGGCTGTGCAGGATATCTTACAGCCAAAAGCAAGCATGCAGGACCTTGTTCTGTAACCCAAGATTTTTCTAAGGGTAAGGAGTGAATCCCATTTCATCTAATGCCATCACCCAGGTCCTGTCCCCTGCTACGCTCCACCTCCCCACAGAGGATCTGTGCTGGCACAGGAGCTAGACCTCCTTTCTGTCATTGAGTAATTTGTCAGCACTTATTGGAGTGGCTTGGCTATGACTGAATTAGGACACAAAGCATACATGAAATGTTACAGATTCAGCTAAAGGTAGTCCTGATGTTTTACAGGTGGGGGGGGGGGTGTAAATGTTTTTTTCCCCTTGACTTTGAATCAATGAGAGAATGTGCCTGCCCTTCTCCCTCCTCGATTGGGGCTGCAGACATCCAGGGTGAGGGGCCGGGGCCTATTGCTCTCAGCATCGTGTATCCTCTGTGAGAGCAAAGTACCTCACAGACTGGAAAACTGAGTTTCGAGAGTAGAGAAAGAATGGGAGGATTACAAAAGGGAGGAAAAAGCACGTGAAGCGGGAAAGAAACTGGGAGCAGGTACGTAGAAAATGAAACATCTTCAACTGGGGTCTCCAGAGAGATAATGCTTTATGCTGTATTTGCCTGAGCCTAGTAGCAACCACAGGGAAATAAAAACAGATTTGAGTTTTATGGCAGGGAAAGAGTTCCAAGTCATCTCGTCTAACCTACTCATTCTAAAGAAAAAGGCCCCCAAAGTAAAATGACTAGGTGGCTGGAGGGAGTGGGAAAACACAGCCAGGTGCTCTCTCTGAGGTGCAGGTAAGGCTCTGGGTCAGGGGAGAGGGACGGGCCATGCTGGGCACCACAAGCCTCAGCTACTCGTGCTGGACTTCTGCAGCCCAAAGCGCGCCTGACGGGAGGGGCAGGCACATGCTCTTGTAGTAGTGGGAGACGACGGTCTAGGTGATTCTGAACTACTAAGGCAACACTGATGTCTCCGAATTGCCAAGAAAACACAGTTCTTCCAACAGTTCGTTCTGCATCTTTGTCCCCCTGTAAAGGAAAAATCCCCATCTGAACTGAACAGAACCTCGAATTCGTTTGATGGGCATTTAGATCAATGAACAAAATACACCGTTTGACAGGTTCCATTCTCCAAAGACATATTCATCGGGGTCCTACACAAATGGGTATCAAAGCTATTTACAGGAAGAGAACGCTCTCTTTCATACATCCACCCACACACAGTGAGGATTTCACAGTCACACCCCACATCTCACACACAGGACTCCCGACAGGCTGAGCGGCAGTTGACACAATCCGAGTTTTTCCTGTTTTTAACCAGAACTGTCTCGTCTGCATTTGTGAAATGAAGCAGTACATTCCAGACATTTATTCCCAGGAAACCAGCCTTGTATACATTAAGCTATACACATAAGTACATTTTTTAATGCAAAAAAAAAAAACCCATTGTTTGTGCCAGTTTTTTCCCAATTCTCAATCTGAAACTAAGAAGGAAACATACAAAACCTTGCCTTGTAGAAATAGCCCTTGGTTTTATGAGGCAGAGAAAAAAGGCAGCCATATTACACCTCTGGACAGTATGTTTAGGCATCAAAAAGGCCACGTGCCTTTTTCTATTTCATGAAATTAAATAGCTTGTAGCCGATAGCTTGAAATACTGGTTTTACACCATTCATTTTGCAAAGTTCTATTATAAAAGTTTTAATGTGTTCAAAATACGCATGCTGTCGTTTGGCCACATGGCAATTCCAACACCCTCCCTCCAAAAAGAGGCGGCTTTGTCACACGGTGGAGCACAAGTCACTTTTGAAGCATGTGTGGGGCCATGGTTCTATAATATTGCGCCTGAAGGGGGCGCTTTTTCATAAGGCTGCTTAGCATGGGGGCTTCTACGGGAGTCAAGGACCCGCGGACAACGTGGAGCCACTTCACAAATGGGCTTCCGTGCGGAAGGCGCCACCAGGGGCCCAAGTTAGTAGAGGAATACTGCACCATGAGCTCCCGCCTTCTGCCAAGTCTCATTTGTTCCCAGAGCGAAGAAAACATCGGATGCGAGAAGGGAGGGAGCATACTCTTCGAGGGCCACCTGGGCACACCACCTTCCTGGCTTTAAGGGCTCATCACATCAAACACACATCAAACACACATGTCTCACTGCATCCTCAAAGCACAGCGGCACAGCACACGGAGCCGCGATGAAGACCGGGCCTAGGAGAGCATGAGGGACTTGCCCAAGGTCCACAACTAGTTGGGGCAGCACCGTGTCTCCGGCGATAGTTGTGGGGTCCTCGGCCCTCACTCACATGGCCGACTGGTCTCCTGGGAGACAAGGGCCCCGTGGGAACAAGAATCCCGATTGCTCACCACTCACCGGGTCATGGTCTACTGTGCTTTTCGTTCCTACAACCGGTCCTACATTGTCTTCCTACAGTCTTCTAGAAAGAGTCCTTCACCCAAATAAATGCACGGTAAGCAGTCAGCAAGAAAACCTTTTTTCATTTGACTGAGTGACCTGAAATCGAAACTCGGGAGATGCACCCTGGAATTTGGTGCAGAGTCTTCGAAAAATTCGGATATAGGATGCCAGAGTTCTACGTGCGTTTTTGGTTTCAGTTTTGTTTGGTTTGGTTTTGGGGGTTTGTTTGTTTTTTCACAGCATTTGAAATTCTGATCTAACCCCAGGTTGCACCCATAATACCAAAATGAACAGAATGGCCTTCCCTAATTAGAAAATAGACAAAGGAAAATTTCTTTGCATCTGAAAATTCTTAAAAGTGCCCCAAATCTCACGACTGACCACAGCAGACAAACGTTGAAGGCAAGTCAGGTCAGGAGGTAATGAAACCGGGTAGGATAGAGAGAGGACTCTGGCCCCCGAAAACAGAAATGGAGCTCAGAGATGGGAAAGGGACCGACAAATTTAGGGCGCATAACCCGAATCCAGAACATCTGTCGTGTGTTGCGGTGAGAAGAAATCAGCTGTGTCACCCACAAAGGACCACTCTGGGGGTGGAAAAAAAAAAAAGAAAAGGCATCGACCTTTGGCCAAGGACAGCACTGTGCAGCTGTGGGCAGGTCCCCCGTGCGAGACCACCAGGGGGCACAATCGTAAGCAACTGCTTCCCAGCCCTGGCAGGGATAACTCAGCCCTTTTCACACCTTAAATCTAAGGGCGAAACTAATTTGTGTTTAACGGTTCCTGAGTTAGAGTTTCTTTAAAATGTTTTCTTCCTCTTTCCAGCCAACTGTTTGGGCCTTTAAAAAGCAACCCATCACAGATGTTTCCGGTCAACAATCAAGGTCTCAGACTCCCTTTCATTCGCACACACATTCACACGATCATATTACGAATTTTGATAGAATCTAAATTAAAAATATCTTTCATCGCAGATGCTCTTATTATATACATGGATAGGTCTGAAATTATCAGATATAATGGGGAAAAAATATGTCACAAATACGGCGTCGCCTCGGAGCTGATATCTGATGGTGGGTGAGGCCACAGCACAGGCCACATAACTGGTTTCTCTGGAGCCCCGCCCTCTCACCCCCCAGTGGACCACAAAGCGACAGAGGGGGCTGGTGGCACGTTCCCACTTGTGATCAGCTGGAGGCAGGCCCCACCAGCAATATGAATACTTTTTTTTTAATGATCCTCTCTTTGAACATTTATAGCAATTATAAAAAGAAAAAATATCTACAGTAACATCTCATCACTAATAGAAAATCTCTTCCCAGTGCTGTTTCAGAAGGCGTCAAATGATCGTCGGGCTCTTGAAATAAAACTATAAATACCCCATGTATTCCTTCATCTCTGGCCATCCCAACTTGTCTTTTCTTTTTGGCAAATCAAAAAGGCGTATGGCTTCTCTCGCCGACTTGTGTGCATGTGAGGTTTAGCTGGGTAACCTGCGGTAAAAGTACATGTAGCCCAGATCTTTCGGGGGCCTTTCTGAGGCACAAACTTTGTGGTCGTTGTAGATCACCCATCTGAAAATAAAAGACCGAGCGTTTAGTGAAGTGAAGTCATATCCAAAACCGGTTACTGCACAACAGGAGCCGAGTGGTGAAAACCACCGAAGATGCTTAGAGAAAATGAACTCACGTTTGCTGTATACAAAGGAACTCACAACTGCTTGTTTATCTTAGAGCTCAATCAAAAAGTAGCTACTAGAATGTATCAGAAGCCTCCAAATGCTTTTAAGCTCCTTTATCCCAAAATTCTCTTTGTAGACATTCCAGAAGTTAAATCAAAGAATTGTGTACACGAATGTTTATTTCCAAACTCACTGCCATCAAGTGGATGCCAACTCATAGCAATCCTACAGGGCAGGGTAACACTGACCCATGAGTTTCCGAGACTGCAGCTACCACGGGAGTAGAAATCTCCGTCTGTCTCCTGAGGAGCGACTGATGGTTTTGAACTGCTGACCTTTCGGATCACAGCCCAACCAGTAACATACATGTCACCAGGGTAAGAGTCAGAAATAACTTGATGGCAGTGAGAATGATTACATGAGCCTTAGTTATAAAGTTAGCTAAAAGAAAATCAAGAATAGCCAAACAGAAAACTATTAGAAAGCTAGATTGTCTTCAAAAATGATTTGTAAAACAAGAAAATAATTATATGAAGTGGGGGGGGAGCTAGATACACATTTTATGTACTCTGTACACACTTGAAAGTTTTTTTTAAACTCTTCAACGTACATATACATCTATGCACCTATTCCTTACTTATCACTTAACTCACTATCCAGTAGTTTGTATTTATAACAATAGGGGGGAAAATATGCTATCCAATTATTTAGTGCCTTAACAACATATGCTGGCAGTCATGAACACCACAGTGCGAGATGGAAGTTACACCGAGTCACTATGCAGACGGAGTTACCCACCACGAACTGGGTGTTTTCTGATACACAGAGCTACAATGTTGGATGCGCACACCAGCACGCCATCATTCAAAGGAAGTGGCATCTGTAAGACAGAGCTCTAGCAGGACCTACAGACACACATAAATTCCAGGAGAAACGGCCCAAATGCCACGGTCTCCACTCTTGTAGTTCGTCCTCTCTCTCAGTCCATACCAATCATCTGATGGGGAATGCCTTACAATCAACTGGCTGAGGAAGAAAAACTGGTTCACGGATGGTTGTGTCATATTGGCTGAATAATTGTCTTTATTTAGAAATTATGTGTGGTTAAAAGAGATGTGTACAGGTGCCAAGTTGGCAAGGGATGGATTGTGATGGTTACTGTCAGGCGTTATGTTGGTAATACTATTAGTCTCATTATTATGTAATCTTCCTCCATTTGTTTGATCTCTTCTAAGAAGAGTTTCCTTAGGAAGGAGAGCTGCATCCAATATATTTGTATGTTCTGAGAAAGCTTTATTTTTGCCTCTCAATTCTGCATCTAACTTAGCCTCTCAACTTGAGCCAGCAGCCTGCCATCTGAGCTGAAGATTTTTAGTTCATTAACCCCTGCAACCATATTAGTCAGGAGAACTCGCTAGCCTGGCATCTGACACATGAATTTGAGGCTTGCCAACTTCCACAAGTACATGAGGCATTACCTTGAAATAGATAGATAGATATAAAACTAGTGAAAAAATATATGTTTGTGTATATATATGTGTACATACATATATTTTTCACTAGTTTTGTATCTATCTAAATATATGTGTATATGTGTATGTATATATATATGTGTGTACATACATATATTTTTTCACCAGTTTTGTATCTCTAGAGTGCCCAGCCTAAAACACATAAACATTTAAAATAAATAAATAAAACACATATACATACCTTTCCCTAATAAAAACAATGTAACAAAGGGGAATATATAGACAATTATCACCTTTATGGCCCATGCAATTTTTATAATATGCAGTATTTGAGACATGGTTATACTAAAAAATTTTATTTATGTTTATCTAAACTTAAATTTAACTGGGCATCATAATTTCAGTGTGTGCTGGTTCCATACGGAAACCCCGTATGACATACATTCTGGTTCAGGCTGCATGTGCATTTTAGGGTGTCACGTTGGTGCAGGCCTAAGAACGGCCTGGAATGTCAATTTTGACACCGCTACTTCCTAGCTAAGATCAAACTAGTCAGCCTCTTAGAGTCTCAGCTTCCTGGTGTATAAAGCAGTTTAAAGGGAACATCAAGTTAAATAGGAAGCACCGTGTAGGGGTGCTTGGCACATATAGGTGCTCAATAAAGGGAACCTCCCAAAACACTCACCTTCCTTCTTTCTTGATATGACAAACATAATGGCCACTCATTGTAGATGTTCCCATGTGACTGATGAATGCAAATAATTCATATGCTATGAAAAAGAACACAACTCAGTTATAAAGCAGCATTTCTAGAAACCAAACATATTTCTGATCAGATTTGTAAATAAAAAAATAATATAATCTGCTTGCAATGTTTAGCTTTGGACAGTGTCTACTTACCTTCCTATGCTGAGCACATATACACATATGTACCCAAAGGGAGACCAAATTCCGCCTGAAATCTGAGCTACAGAGTAGCAGACAGGACATCAACCAACAAGTATCAAAAACCAGTTGCCTTCAAATTGACCTCAACTCCTCCCAGTAGAACCATTTGGAAGCTCCACAGAGTTGCAGTGGTTGGTGTGAAGTAGATTACCAAACCTTCCTTTTAACGTCTCTCTAGGCGGACTCAACCCTCCATCTTCCAGTTAGTAGTCGAGTGCATTAGTCATCTGCCCCTCTAGGGACACGAGTTCATATCTGGGTGAGGAAGAAAAATCCCACAGCTCAGTACTGATTAAAGTCTATGGGTCTACAAAGGGACCATGGTTCTAACACTCCCAGCAATGTGATGGTAAGTTGTTTTCATCTTTCTGAACCAGTCTCTTCATGGCAACGTGAAATCTACCCACTCTCCAGGACGCAATGCGGCTTAAGTAAGCAAGTCAGACACAAAATGTCAGGATTATAAGAAAACAAGAGAGAGCCATGATCATTTATGTCATAGGATATTGATTCAGAAAAATATTTATTTTCCCATGATTATTGGCCGAGTCGAACTACAATTCAACCATTCAAGCTACAATAGTTTCAGAATAAAAAGATAATGCAGTCCCTTATAAGATGAAACTAATATTTGTCCTCTAATAAGTACGTCCTGTCATCTTGTGCAGCATTCTATTATCAAACCAATATGAATTTCATGTATAATTTTCCAGCCAATTCAACACAACACAAAGTGGCTTACTGCATCCAATAATGTCCTTAGGCATTTTTCCCTGATAGTTAGGCTTTGTGTCAACTCGGTTGGGCCAGAATTCTCAGTGGTTTGGCAATTAAGGGCTATGACTCCCCCATGTGTTACCTAACACTTTGTAATCAACCCCATAATGGGATTTGCTGTAGGTAGCCAGTCAGTTGTAAAAAGTTTAGAGTGCAATGCAATCCCCTTACTAGGTTCAGAGCCCTGATGTAAGTGAAAGGTTGTTTCTTTGTGAGTGTGACCCATTTGCCATGTAAGTGGACACTGTAGGAAAGCTTGCATTCTCTTTGCTGGGTCTGGATCATGTCTCTGGCTCATCCACCCCTGGTTCTTTGGAGTTGGGCCAACAGCCTGCCATATTGCTCTCACCAACCCTGGATTCATTCGCCTCTCCAGTCACAAGCCTGACCTGTTGACCCTGGTTTCATTCCTCTCTATACCTACCAGTCTCTCATCTTCCTATTAACCTTGAAGTCATCAGCCTTAGAAGCTACCCAAGTCAGGAAAAGCCTCCAGTTTAACATCTGATCCACAGACTTGGCATCTGCCTAGACTTGAACTTCCTCACTTCTGCAACTGTGTGAGCCATTATCTTGATATAAATTTATACACACACAGCATATGTATATATAAAGTTTAGGTATATATATTTATTTACATACATATAAGTCACTAGCTTTGCTTCTGTACAGAACCCAGCCTAACACATCTCCCCAAAGCATTCTCCCCTCTTTATTTAAAATCAATATGTGTATCTTCTGAGAATCATAAAAATAAATTAAAGGAGAACAATTTAGCATATCTCAAAGCTATCATTAAGATTAAACAGGTTTACCAAGTAAACACATTTAAACAACTACCCTGGACATTACCCAAGACATCTCGCTGGGAACCAACCACCAAAACGAGAAATTCTATCAACACATTTGTAAAATCTCAACAGATAAGAGGCCCAAATTGATGCTTATTTCCAACGAGAAATGCAGTGTGAAGAAACAAGAAAAGGAAGCTTCCACTAGTATTTCTGAGTTCCTGAGGTCCACTTCCAAAAACCAAAAACGCCAGCACACACAATCCAAAAAAAATGCAGAACGTTTTACAGAAATAGGAAGGATGGTGTGTGAGAGGTGGATACAATTTTCTCTTACTTTCAAAGAGAAACTTTCAAAGTACCCATAAGAATTAGCCAAAACTGCTTAACCTCTATGCCCCACATGTAGTGAGTGGTATTGCCCCAATAGTCAGACTTCAACTATCACGAAACAAGAACATTTTCCCTGTGCTTTTCTCTCAACAAACCTTGTACTTTTTCATTCTCTCCTTCTCTTTTCACCTGTGCATTTAACATGTTCAATGCAATAAAACTTTGCATTCTGATTTGGGTGAAAGTCCACAGAGCAACTCGGATTTCCACGCAGCAATTCATCTACATTTTATTTCTATGGCATTGGTGATGATCCCTCATCCTTAACAACCCCATGACACTCCCTTCCTGTGTCTCCGTCGCCATTTGTTGTTCTTTCCTTCACGGATGTCTAGGGCAACGTCTTAGGCAAAGTTCTCCTGAGAGGCAAAACCAGGGAAGCTTAAATATGTATATATAGAGAGATTCAGATCAAGAAGATGACTCACACAGTGGTAGAAATCGGCAATGTCCATGTCAGTGTCAGATGTTAGGCTAGAGCAGCAGTTCTCAACCTGTGGGTCATGACCCCTTTGTGAGTCGAACAACCTTTCACAGGGGTCACTCAATTCATAACAGGAGCAAAATGACAGTGATGAAGTAGCAACAGAAATAATTGTATGGTTGGGGGAATCACCACATGAGGCACTGTAGGAAAGGGTCGCGGCATTAGGAGGGTTGAGACTGGGCTACAGGCTTCTCCTGACTCACGTAGCCGTGGGTGCTGATAGACTCAAGATTGACAGAAAGACGCCAGGCTGCTGATGACGCCCAGGACAAGCAGACATCACCACAGGCTGTATGCTTAAGCCCAAAGAACTGGAGTTGGAGATACAGAATCTAGACCCAGCTGAAAGCAAGCAAGGAAGTTTTGCAGTGTCCACTTACATGGGAAGCAGGCCGCACCTCCCAGGAAACTTCCTTTAGATTGGATGGGGGCTTACAATTGATGGGCTGCTCATAGCAGGCTCCACTATGAATGTGCTTATGTTGGTTTGTATAACATGATGGAGTATAAATAGGTCTTTACTGCCAAACCACTGAGATTGTAGCTCAACCACATTGACAGAAAATCTTAACTATCACAGACATCAATCTTTAAGCATTCCATTTCAGTTTTGACAACTTCCAATGTTCCTAGTTTCAAGCTTAATAACGATAGCTTTTTCTTTTCCTTTTGAATCATGACACATTCGTATAAGTGGTGCCTTAAATTCAGACTTCTAGCCTCCTAGCCTATGAGAACAGACTTCTGTCTGCTAAGGTCACCCACTTGTGGCTTTTCTGTTATAACAGTACCAGCTAACTGACACCAGAGTCTGTGTCCCAGCAGTACCACTGATAAAAGACCACGAATTGCAGCCAGTGCTCAAACACGAGTAAGTAGGGCCCAAATGCAGTGAGGGATGATAGATAGATGATAGATAGATAGATAGATAGATAGATAGATAGATAGATAGATAGATAGATAGATAGGTAGATAGATATAGATAGATAGTGTGTGTTCACTTTCCAATAAACTACTGGTACACAGCTTCTCTGTTGAGCTGTATCTTGGCTCCCCTGAGCCTATTCTAGGCTGCTTTCCTCAGGGAGCTGTGTACATAGGGATCACCACCATTATGTAAATGAATCTCTCTCTGCTCCCCTTGCTGGAAAATCTCAGCTGCATGGGGATGTCTGAACCATTACAGAGATGGGGCTGAAGGAGCCAGAGCAAGTTCTCAGTAATCACCTCCTAATCACATTTTAATTGCAATAGTAATCAGTGGGTTCTTTTAAAAGTAAATAAGTGCTCATTAAGTGCAACACAGAAACAGTGAGTGCTGTTGCAAATGACAGCAGCCTCCCCCCTACCCACCCCCACCACTGGAGGTCAGACTGGAGGTCTGAGCTCCCATTGCCTGAAAATTCAAAAAACTCAACCAAGTCAAGTGCTTGCCTTATGGTGCATCACTGTTGTCGGTTGACATGGAGTGATTCTGACTCAAGGTGACCCCCAGGTCCCAGGGGGTTTTCAAGAACATTTCCTCTGATGTCGATCGCTAGGCCTTATTTCCCTATTGCCGTGGGGAGAAGTCGTTAGCCACCCAAGGACTCAACTTTTAGCAAATCACCCACTGGTGTCAAGTCAATTCCGACTCATAGCAACTGACACTGGGTTTTGGAGGCGCTAAAGCTTTATGGGAGCAGACAGTCTCATCTCTTTCCCACAGAGCAGCTGATGGGGTTAAACTGTCAACTTTCGGCTTAGCAAAGCCAACTCTGACCCGACAGCACCACTGTGTCGCCTTTGAGCAAGTCAGATTCTGTTTAAATAGGAGTTTCATGTGACGACATTACTTCCTCATGCAGGGTCATCGTGGTTTTTAATTAACCTTATCTCCTCAAAGAAAAACCTTTAATCCTTGACCTTTGTAATAACTGCTTGCTGTTTAAGGACCTGCTTTCTTATTATTTTCCATGTGAGCCCAGTATAGATAACGTCCCATGGCCATTCTCCTTCATTTGGCAATAGTACCCTGGTCTTGAGTGTGAAGCAGGGTTTCCAACCAGTTCATTTCAGTTTGACGCCCCTGCTGGGAATTCCATTTCCCCACCAGATATACTGAATCAATCTCCATTTTAACAAGGATCTGCAGTGATGCTTCTGTACCCTGGGGATGTTGTTAAAATGCAGATTCTGACTCAGTCCAGCTGGGAAAGAAATGGAAATCCTTAGCGGTGGCCATAGTGGAAGGCACCACCAGTTCAGAGAGCCCTGGGCTGCAGGAACGCTGGTGGCTCCGAGGTTAAGTGCTCAGCTGCTGGCCGAAACATCGGCCATTCGAATCTCCCAGCCTTCCGGAGGGGGAAAGCTGTGGCGGTCTGCTTCCATAGAG